AAATTTTCTAAACAAATATAGTATTGCTATTTCAATTCGATCGTAAAATCTAAAGAATATGTAATGAACAAAAATATAACTTCAATGTTTATAATATTATAATTTTAAACATGGAATTGATAGGAATAATTTTAATATGGACAAATATTAACGGAGATGGATAATCCTCCTATTATAAAATATAATTTTTATTTACCAATGGCGAATAGATTATATATACTCCACTGGATGCACTTCTATATTACTGTAATAATTAATTTATTATAATCAATTTCGTGACATTACTATACTCTGTAATACTGTATAACAATTTCTGTCAGATCCTTTAATAAACTTTCTTATACATATATGTATATATATATATATATATTGTTGCAAAAGATAATGTTTCATTTTTCATATAAATACATAAAATGTACATTATTTGTTATTTTTTTCACACATCGCTTATATCACTGCATTCGTGAGGGAGCTGTTATTTTCTTCGTATGCACGCAATATATTCGCATGTATTTAACAAAAATCGATCATCCTTCTTACTAGCGCAAAAACACATAACGAACTGCCTCACACGGAATACAGTTTAGTTTTCTGACACGTTTCAACATTTTATAAACAAATATAACATTTTTATTTCAATGCTTTAGTAAAATTTAAACAAATTAATTAAAAAATGTGTATAACAAAAATTACTTTACTTAGACGTTTAGTAAATTCATGATATTTATTATTTAAATTGTATTTAATATCTTGTATTTAAAAATAAAATATCAGCGACAGCCACATTTCTCAGTCGGACACTATACGTTATTTTGATTAGTATTCGACAGAATGATGACCTGAGGCCAAATGTCAAAATGAAATGAAAGACTTTAAACAAGCGACTGAAAATACTATACTCACTTTTCTTTAAATCGAAATTGAAAATCAGAGAAAAACTAAATGTTGGGTTGGCAAATAAGTCCTTTCGGTTTTTCTGTTTATTTTTATTCCACTATCATACACTTCTTATCTACTGAATTAAACCCTAAGGTGGATCATCCAGTGAATAATAAATTCAATATATTATTCAATATAAAAATCCAGTCCTGTATGAATGCCCTAGTGTGGAGCAACAATTTTCTTGATATCGTCTGCGAAAGAGGTATATAAATCGAGAACTAATAATATTCTTTTTAAAAATAATATTAACAATCCATTTTAATTTATTATTTATGTATTGCTTTTTTTTAAAGTGAAAAAACGACATTCTTTTAAATAAAAACATGACTAAAGGACGAATCATTTTGCAATGATAGATTTTTAAAAAATTATGGCGCGGTGCATGGTAGGTAGATTATATAAATTTAATAAATAAATAAATAAAAAAAATTATAAAATAAATTTTGGACTATTTGTATTACTGATTGTTGTTAAATAATATGAGTATGATAAGGATGTATTTGAATAGTAAAAACTAAATTAAAATTAGGTTTGCAGGATCTTGAAAATGGCTCCTGAAGCCGGAATGTTGAATAAAGAATACAGGATATAAAAACTGGGTATATTTGGTGACCTTTGGCCTAAAATATATATAAAACGCTGCAAATGATTTCAAAATGGTTTATTATCTCCAAACAATTATACATCTAAAGTAACATTACCTTCCGAGTTACAAAGAAAAAAAAGGTGATTCCAATTATTAGACTAAACTGTTTTTCTTTAATCATTAGTAATATGCTAAAACAAAATAGCATTATTTCAGTAACACATTTAAAATTTAAAAACCAAACCAAGGATATAACATTTGGAGTAGAATACATAAAAACAAACCAGAGACCATATCTTTGCTCCAGATTGTCCGATTTTAAAGATTTTTTTTTTTTTTTAGGAAATTTCATAAACTTTTAAAAACCTATAATACAATATCAACAAAAAAGTAAAAACTTTTCGAGTTATTCGGAATTTAATTTTACCATCCCTCGTAACTTTTTTTCCAGCTTCTTTTCGTTGAAGTATGTTATATAGATAAATTTGAAGGGCGTTGAGAAAATGGCTTTAGCGAAGTTTCATTGAAATCTGTACATTCGTTTAGGAACTACAGTCTATAGGTTTTTCGAAAGTTAGTAAGGCCGCCATTTTGAAAGTAAAATGCGGAGAGTAATGTCGATGAAAGAGGATCATCTTCGGGTGACCTCTGATTTTATATCAAAATTTGAAAAAAATCGGTCCAGTAGTTTCGGAGAAAATGCGCGGACGGCGGACAGACAAAAAAATTTTATTCGTTTTTCGAATTCTACGGATCTTGAAACGTGAAACCTCAAATTTTGAGGGGGGGGGGTTATGTTTTTGAATTTTTTGGTCGATCACAATGTTTCATTATTGAAAATAATAAACCAAAAACTTATGAGAAAATGGCACCAAACCTGAAGGATGTGACTAGAAAATAATTTTTAGTATAATACATTTTTTCTGGTTATTGATTATTTTATTTACCCTTTTCCCATTAATGAAATTATATTCATTTACCCATCAATGGATAGAAATTACACAGTGAAGGAATTTTGAGCTAGATCAAACATGTACAACTAGCTAAATTTACCAGAAAACTGTATAGAATTTTTTGAATAAATATATCTTCTTATTTATTCAGGCAGAAACGTGGACAAATTTTCCTTATTGAACTTGAAGTTGACCAGGTTGGCAACTCTTTTGTATCCTTACCTCTTTATAAATATGCTATAAATATATTCCAATAGAATATCTCCTATGACTTTCCATTGATATTTATTGGTGATTTATTTAATATTTTTGTGTGTTCAAAAGAAATTTAATATTTCATATCTTTGTATATATAAAATAACATTTTTTTTAACAAAGTCGGTTTAATCCTAAGTTGAAATATTTATTTAGTTTAATTTGTTTCAAAATAAAAATATTTCTTCTTAGCTCATTATAATAAGATTTGATTTTATGTTTTCCAAAACGTTTTAGGTTGATACCAATTAATGAGTAATATTTTTGCATGGTAGCTCTCGGGCAATAACTAATGGAGGCATTCACGTAAAATGTTTTAGCCGGCCTAAAATGATGTAATTGATATCAGAATAATATGCAACGTAATCAATATTGAACGCAGTTGGACACTGAACTCATTTAGACACCGTTAAAATGGAAAGTGCATGTTTTATATGCAACCAGCGACACAATCATCCATTCCAACATGTTGGTATCTCAGTCTATATTTAACAACTTTAATTTTTTTTTTTTTTTGCATATGACAACAATCGTTATTAACATTTTTTAAGATTTGGAACATTCATTATTGAATTCAGTCACCTTTCACTGACTGTTAAACTAGTGACGCGGATGAGAAACTTATTTATAAATGTTTTGGGCTCTTCAATCACCTGGTTCATTTTCGTCCTATATTACAATTTGATCAAATATTGCACACATAACAAAACTACAGCTAAGAAAAATAATTTAAAGTTTGAAAAGTTTAGAATAGTTGCAGAATTGAATTAAAATTATAAAAATTGAAAGTTAAAGATTTATACATATATAAGTTAACAAAGGCAATATAAATAAAGATTAATGATTTTAAGAACAAAAGCTAAAAAATACACTTTCTAAAAATAAAAATTAATATTAATAGAAGCGAAGTTAAAGAGTACAGTGTAAGTATTAAAAAGTATAACAACCATTAAAATTAAATATTAAAGATTAGAAAAAGATAAGTTAACAGTTAACAAGGACATTTAAATAAAAGGTTAATGATCTCAGGAAAATTATCTAAAAATACGGTTTGAAAAATAAAATTAATATTAAAAGAAGCAAAGTTAGAAAATACAATTTAAATATTAAAAATTACAAGATGAAAATTTGAACAACCATTATAATTAGAAATTATGATTAAAAGAAGAAACATTAACTGGTATATTTTCAATTTGAAGAGGAACATACAAACTTAAAAACTTAACTGCTTTATTTACAATTACAAGATGTGATTAAATTTTGTGAAATATTTCATTTCCTTAACAATATAAAGTTTTTAATAGCATTTGGGTTCTTTTGGTATGATTCTTTAAGGCTATTTCTGAAATGATGTTGATCAATAAGAGATTGGAATGCATAACATTCGGTTATGATATGGTTCACTGTGAGAGGTATGGTTCACTGGGATCTCTAAGAGTCTTGTTTTTTTTTTTGCAAATCTGGGAGAAAAGACCTGATTGGGAGTCCCCCGAATGTTTTAAAATATTTTATTTAAGTTATTATTTCAATTACTTTAACAACAAGTTTCTTTTTTATACTTATATAAAAATAGTTGAAGTCGTTTATTTTCTCCCTATCAGTCAGTGATTCTGTTCAGAAATTTTTTTCTGATTATTTAAAAGATTTGTCTGTATTATTGAATAAACAGTTGTTAGTGTTGCCCGAAATCGGTATTGGTCTTGCACTTTGCAAGACCAAGACCAGAACTGTTAAAAAAATAGATTTTTTTCAAAAGAATAAAGGCAAAATAGTTACTAATACTTGACAATCTTAGTTACTATATGTTAATAATTGGTGCAACCAATATAGTTTTTGTGAAATATTTTCATTTCCTTAACAATATAAAGTTTTTAATAGCATTTGGGTCCTTTTGGAGTGATTCTTTAAGTCCTCTCATTCTTCTCATTCTCATTCTTTAAGTCCTCATTTTGCATTTAAGTCCTCTCATTTTTCATTTTGGCTTAGTTAAGTTTCTCCTATCTAAAAATTTAAAGTAATGTCTCTATAGCAATAAGCTAATAAAAAATTGCAAGATTGTTGTGACTCTCTTGAGCAAGACCAACACCATGACCAAGACTGAATTTACAAGATTCGTCTCGGTCTCGCATTTGGGCAACACTAGTTTAGTAAATTATCGATTTTTAATTTAGCAAGTAGTATGAAATAGGTTAAGATTAAAATAAGTATTTTTCAATGATTTTTATTTAAATATTTTTTCAGTATAAAAAATAAAAATAATACTATTAATACTCTGGAGCGTATCTTAGGACACGAGAGGGAGGCTTGTACGAGTAGACTGGAGAGCTGATGGGGTCGACGTTGTTGTATCGAAGACTCGCTAGGTAGCCGGCCGACCTGAGCTCCTCTTGCTGCTGCCTCAGCTCCTGTTGTTGTTGTTCCAGCTGTTGTTGCCTCTGTTCCAGCAGCTCGATCTGCTGTTGCTGCAAGTCGTCCTGAACTCTTCCCAGCTGGCTCTCTGGAAGGCCGTACTCTTGGGCAAGAGGGCTCTGTTGTTGGAAGTATTGGCCATTCTGTTGCCGTTGACTGGATTGCTGGAAGTCTCCATTCCGTTGTTGATTGTAATACTGCTGGTTGAGTTGTGGAGGAAGGTAATCCTGTTGTAATCTGTACGAGTCACCGTTTTGATTGAGCCCGTTGTTCTCGACTTGGCCAACCTGGTTGAATTGGCCGGAATACTGTTGAATGCCTGAGTTCAACTGTTGTCCATTCCTGAAATTAGCAGTGGTGTACTGCACCCTCTGGAGACGACCGTCGTTCAAGAAGACTTGGTAGCTAGAAGCAGCACCTGATCCTTGGCCGTTTGACAGCTTCGCCAAATCTTCTGCTTCGGTCTAAAAGTATACGTTTTCAATTAGAAATAAATGTGAATCATATTTTTTTTTTTAAATATAGCATCATAAATTCAAAATTAATAAAATTTACACCATGTGTTGGTATTATCTTGACCAGGTTTGATATAATTGAAATATCTAAAAGTTGGAAGGAAGGGAAGGTTTAAACTGTAAAGGTATAACTTAAACATTCCAACCATCATTAATGTAACTTTTCTTCCCTTCTGCCGGATGTGTTTCACAGGTGGATCTACGGGGGGGTGGGAGAGAAGGAAGTCCTCCCCAAAATGGTAAAATATTTTCGTGTCTTAAGAAAAAAAAAATATTAAAAGTTACTCTAAAAGTATTATTGTTCGTGTAATTATATTTAATAGGACTCCATGAATAACATAAGCACCTTTAGTATTGGTAGTTAATTTGTTTTCTTTTTTTTCTGAAGTAATTGTCGTAATATTTAAAAAAAAATTCTTTCGGACTGAAGCCCTCCCCCCAAAATGAAATCCTGGATCCGCTAGTTATGGGTTTCAATCGAATATGCTTCTCGTGTAACAAGCTGAACTTGAATGCGCAGAAGACAATAGCGATTGTCTTCCAAATCACCATATTTGAATTATTCTTCATATTTCAACTCCTAATAGCAAAATTCTACCCAACTATCAAAAATCTTGGGTCAAATTTGAATCAAATCACCATGGGCCAAACTGATTTCAGTAAAAGACCATTCCTTTTTTCCACTAAATCACTGGATTGAGTCATGAATTTCCATCTATAAACTCCTACAAATTATTTTAAAGGTTCCCCACCTAATATAATGTACCCTCAGACTAATATTGGACAGTATGAGAGGATGTATCTGGAGATATCAATGAAAAAGTAAAAATGTTTATGATTTGCTTTGTAAGATTGATTTTTGGCACTTTAGGCTAGCTTTTCTCCAGTACTGGCTTCTATATATCTCTTTTAAATTCAAGTTTTCTGCCTATTCTTACCAAACACGATTTCAGTCTTCATCAGTAAAAACAAAATATTTCCTTAACCAATCTCCTTTCAAATCCACCCTATTCCAATATTTTCCGTACAAACTCACCCTTCCAGCTTGGGGTCCTGCCTTATTAATACCACATGGCACAAGCCTTCCCTTAAAAAAATAAATAAGCTCTTGGCCGGCAATCCATGTGGAATGAGAGCCCACCGAGCAAATTGAAGGGAATAAAAAACAGTCAAACCATGGTCCATCTCGAACCGTAATTCGTAGAAAGAAGGTTTTCTTAACTAGCCTAACGGTAGGACATACAAACCTAACATTATTATTTGATAAGCGAACAGCTTGCACCAAAATGCCAACATTGTTACGGTTCCCGTCACATTCTCCAAGATTGCCCTTATTATGCACTGATTTTAACCAAATTGGGACTCGTACCAAAATTATCAGTAGTTTTAAATAATGACGAAGTTAAAATAAAATCTAAATTTGATGTTGTTTTTTTCTGCCACATTTCTAATAATTTTTTTGTTCTCTATGACTCACAGGCTCTAAATCCAAACTTGAATTATTTACGTAATTATTCTTAGGGGAAAATTCTGAAATTAAACAAAGATAATAATAAAGAATTAATGGTGTGGAGAGGTTTTTACAGTCTCTGGTAAAGCTGTATATGAATCGTTATATAATCTTGTAAAAACACTATTTCACGAAGAATAGTTTTAGCAATCCAGTGATTATCATAATCAGTTGTAAATCAGCGTAAAGTGTTTTGTTTGACTAATTCGAGAGGTTGGTGTTGCCTGTTCCTATTTGCATTTGGATAATGACTTATAGAGAGCGGCACTTATTGAGCAAGTACTTAAGTAAATTCTTGTAGGATTCGAGGCACGTTCACTGGGTTAGAAAATATGTCAAATTCTAGTATTTGAAAACAAATTTTCAATAGTGACAGAATATTTGTTATAATATCGATGGTCAATTATAATATTCAAATCAGAATGGGATAAATATCTAAAGGCTTTTGAACTATTTATTTTAATATTAAATTAAAATATTTATGTGAAAATTAACGCTTCAAAGTTTTAAAGATTTTTTTAAAATTATTATTTACCTGTTTCCATAAAATATTTTTTTTAAAAGTTCAACTTTTATTAAAAAATACGTTAAGTAATAATTAAACAGTAATTTGACTTAGATTCTTGATGCAGTTCATGTTGAATTAATTGTCTGATTCTGGTATTTCATTTGGTTAAGTATCCTAGGATAGTCTGGACAACTGTCGTTTTTACACTTATTTTTTAGCATTATAAATTTTTTAAACAGTGCTTTCAAATAAAATGTCTACAAAACCATTAATTTGTAAAATTTATAAGTTCCAAAGTTATAATGGCAAAATAACTGAAAAACAAATAAAAATAGCTGTCAAAAAGGAATTGATTAAAAATAAATGTTATCTTTTCATTTCAAGCTTCGGTGAGAAAACATTCACGAACTTCACAGGTATAATTTTTTTGATTTTATAGCTGAGTGTTGTCATTGATATGTTTTGTTAATGAATACGAAAGTGTTTTATAGAATACAATTTTTAACAAAACTAATGGAAGGGCACTATCGAGAAATTTAAATTTAATTTGAGGAAATTTAATGACTGGATTTGGAATATCAATAATAAAAGTAAATTTTTTGCTAATAATACAGCGAAAAATGAGTAACATAAGGCTTTCACAATGGTGTTACTGTATTACTTTAAATAACTTCTTGGACGAAGGAGCAAGGTGTACCTTTTACGTATCGTTCATTGTATTTTTCAACTTTAGTAAGTTTTATAAGTTAAATAATTATATTTTTTTATTTTAAAAAACAACGATTTAACGTGTAATTTTCGTCACCTTTCGTGCACTGGAGTTATGCAAACCAGCAAGAAGACATAATATCCGGGAATTTCCTTCTTTTCAATGGCTGGAAAGTTTCCCAACTTTTCTTACATTAAAAATGAGAATTACAATTATGCCTCCAAAAATAAACAATAAAATCCTTTAACTAGAGCAGTAAACAAGGAATCAGACAAATGTCACGTGATACCACATGTTAAAATGCATTCAGCCCTTGAAGTGAACTGTGACGACATCTCCAGAGTAGGGAATGCGTATGACCGGACTGATACAGGGTGTTTATTAATATAAATAATCAAGATTTTTAAAAAATGCATTTAACTAGATCTTTGTAAAATTTATTTAAAATAATATTTGATAAATATAAAGCTTAATTATAATTTCAATTGGATTTGATTTGTTAAGTAATTATTTCATGATTGATAAAATAGTTGTTTATGATAAAAATATTTCATTAAATAATTTATTCTAAATTTATAGTTAATGGACTAAGTTGTATGGAACTCCACAGAAAAAAAAAAAACAACAACAGCTGCCTTCTGGATTGTCCGCAGTCACTAACAGTGTATATTTTTTGACATTAAATCTACTTAAAATCACTTTACATTCAAGTCAATAAAATGTTATTTTAAAAAATAGAATTGTAAATAAACAAAGAATCATCACTACAAGGATTTTTTTAGAGGATGTGAGGGTTGTCCTCATCACTTTTATCAAAGTACTATAATAATTTCATACCTATAATTCATATGTGGCTATATTTATTTAATAATTATTATAAGTTTATTTTAATTATTTGTATAAAACATTGACTGATGTTTAAAGGATCAACAATTTTTTTTTCTTTTAAGCAAGCCTCTTACACATTTCTTTGCTAAAACTAATTTTTTTTTTAATTTATGTTAATTTAAATTTTATTTTTAACACATTTTTGTTTTTACTCTATAAGATTTCCAGATTAAATGAGACATTATTTATATTATTTAATGATTCTTTCTACAAATATACTTGAAAATACTCATTATTTAGTTCAAACTCCCTGAGTCTGACTGACAACTTGCTTTGAAAGAATTCTTAAATAATTAAACAGGTATCAGAATGAAACATAAATTTCATTTAATTAATTGGCTATAATTCTGTACCCATTGCTCTAATACTTTGCTTTAGAAATATATGACTTTATGTCATGTTAGCATCGAGATGGTGTTTTATGGAATAACAAAATATTATGAAATACTTTTTATATAATATTACTTGAAGGGTGTTATAGAAAAGTAATTGGAAATTGAATCATATTTATCTACAAACTTAAATTTAAATATTTATCTGAAATAAAATTTAATAATTGATTAAATTATAAATAAAATGAATAAATAAACATTTATTCAGTTAAAAATTGCTTATAAATATTATTCGTTTATTTCAATTTTTATATAATTAAAATTTGAAGAAACAAAATAATCTAAAGTGCATAGATATGTAAACAATATTTTAAAAATTTATATTTCTTTTTTGGTTTTTGTTTTATGTCAGTTTTATTTTTCTTTAAAAAAAACTAATTTTTTTAATGACTTATTTTTAATTCTTTAAAAATATTCTTTACACGTTTATGTATTCTGTAAGCTGAAACGAATCATCTTTGACAAGACATGATTTTTCTAAAGAGTCAATTTAGAATGAAGGAAAGCAATATAAATAACTATAGAACTATTAAAAAAAAAATGAAATTGAATTCGTCTTTAAATCATAAATAAGGTGCTAATAATTTGATTATATCTCTCAGAAGAATTAACCTTCGAGTTAGTATGACATGTTTCATTAAATAATACAAGAGAAGATCAGTCAGTTTATTTTATATAATTTTTTATGAGTAGCTTTTCCTTAATTTCCAGTAAAATAAAAGTTTATTGATTTGGGTTAGAATGTTTGTAATTTAGCTTTCCAATTTATGATACATTATAATTCATTTGATGCTATAATCAATATTTTTTTATTATTCTGTTAAAAAAAAAATCTGTTGGTATATAGTGTTATACCTTTAAACCCGAGAAAATTATATACATCAATAGATAAGTTCTGTTTAAATTACATTAATATTTCTTTCTCCACCCCTAAGGTCTAGTGGAACGAGCGCCGATACATGTGTCTAATAATTTTGGATGTAGTAACATCAAAAAAAAGTTGTTAAAATCACTGATTGTGGCATCGTTTAATAATTTCGTTAAATTATTCCAATCCTCCACTCCATGAAGTAATACTTTGTCTTAAGAAGATACATTTGGAAGACATGGTCGTAGTATATCGATGATTAGCAATGCTGGCATAGTTATAGTAATACTATGTATACATAGTAATTGCTAGCATAGCAATACTAACCGACTGGAAGGTTGATCCAGGCTGTGCTGGAGCTCCATATTCCAAAAGAGCCCCTTGCGGCCTATTTCCAGCCGCTGGATAAGGTGCTTCTCCAAAAGCGCATCCCACTGCACATAAGGTTACTAGGAGGAGCTGAAACAGAAATATTTTACTTATTAAATTTTGTTTTAATATAAATATAACACAATAATTTATAAATGTATAAACAGAAAGTCAAAACTTTCATAATTTAAAATATAATAAGCCTGGAGATCTTGGAAACACCTCATATAATTGGACCACCCCCTAGTTCATATTAATATAATAAGTTTTCAAAAATAGTATTTAGTTTTTAGTTCCTAAGGCCTCTGAAAATGAAGCTTCTATCCATGCGGAAGTTTTTCTTGAGCTGAAGAAGTGATAAATATTTTTTTCCCGTTTTACTTTTTCTTTTTTACATTAATCCTGAATTTTTTCCTAAAACGAAAACTCCAGTACTCTTTCCATTTTTCATCAAAATTTAAATTCACGCTCTTATAGCCCATTATAAAAATCATACGACACTACATTTTTGAACTTTAATAACCAATATCTTTGAAAAACATGCAAATATCAGAAGAGTGTAATTATAAACTTTTATTATTTTTTAAAAATTTTATTAATATCTTTTTTTTTTTCGATTTGCGCTGCACACCATGAAGATCTTTGACCGCGAATGTGGTTTCCTAGACCACATCTCGATTCCCGATTTAAAGTACGGGGTAGTGTCATCAATCCTATGCCCGGTCCGTGTGAGTTGCCTCCAGTAGTCTGACGGGGCTATCATACCCGAGGGGAGGGTAGGAATCTCGGGCATCGTGACTTTCCTTGATGGACGGTCACCCATCCAAGTGCCACCCAGTATTAATAAAGCCCATTTATAATTTTTTTCATACCTTTTTTTTATCAATAAAATGATAAAATGTATGGTAAATACATATTTTATATCTATTGCTCACAAATATTTTAATGTACAGCTTTTTACAACTCTAATGTACTAAAAATATTTAATAATTTAATTTTGCGATGAACTTTTTTTTGTAAGTTTATTTTTGAAGATAATTAACATAGTTATAAAAGTTTATATTTTTTTTTTATCATATTTTATGTCAACATCGTAAATCCTTACGATATTGTATTTATCGTCTAACAAATTTTATTATTATTATTTTTTTTCATCGAAAAAAAAAATCGAAATATGATTTTTAAATCTTTTCATTTTCTATTTGGCATGAAACGGTTGGAGTGATCTTCAGTGTCAACCTTAAACACAAAAATTAAATGCTTTTGACTTTGAGATTGTCAAGATGTCTTGGTGATACTACTTCATCAGATCGGGTAAAGTCCCCCACTCTAAAGTGAAACATTATCTCGCGTTTTAATTATAATTTTCGAAAAAAAGTTTTTCTTCTTACACTGCGTCTAACTAAAATACATGTTTAAAACTGTACTTACCTTCATGTCGACTGTTGCTGACCAGTGGAAGAACTGAGATGCTGCATCCTCCTCATCTTCAGCTATATATAGCTGGACCATCTTCTTGCTACAGCTGAGAGATCGCTGAAAGGAATAGCAAAGCGATTAACGCAACATGTGTGGCATTAGTATTCAAGGCGTGGCAGACTTTGCTTCTTTGTTGTGTCAGTTGGTCCGAAGCTGTATTTCGGTACGGTCATGCCAAATGCGACGGGATTAACTAACGCATTGTCCGAAAATAGTTGCTATGGTGATGAGAAGGCGTGCAGAAAAATATTTGTTGAAAGTCATTAATGATACTTAATCGGGCATCCTGCAAACATCCGTGGACAACTTAATTTTTAGTATTAGATAGATATATTAAAAATCTATACTGTTTTTAAAAATACGAATTTGAATAAAATTATATTTTTCTTCAGTATACAATTTTAGATTTTGGTTTATTATTTTCAACAATGAACCATTATGATTGTCCAAAAATTCAAAAACTTAAACCTCCTCTAAAAATTTGAGGTTTTAGAATAGAAAATAAATTTATTCTGGGAAAAAGCTCCTTTAGAATAACAAAATAGTACAGAATTAAAATAATACATCTGGTCTAAATAGAACAATAATAAAAAAGAAAAAGTAGAGAAAATATTAGTTATTCAAGCTATATACAAAAAAAAAAATGAATCCACCTAAAAAAAACATAAAACTATGACAGGATACTTAAAACTATGTCCAGTAGGAAAAATTATAATAAAGCGCTTTTGAGAAAAATACATTGAGGTCTAGTTTCTAATTAGCTCTGTGTTTCTGATAACAAACGAAAGGCGAATCTGACAATATAAAATGTCAGAGTACTTAAATAATGAATGATATGTAAACACATTATTATCTTATTGTAACTATAGGTACAGATTGAATTGTATAAGAATAAAAAAAAAAAACAATAGATGCATTCAGTGGCACTAAGAGTAGAAAGATATTATAATATCTCTGGCGAAGTTTACAGTATGAAATAGTACTATCATTTGATGATGAATGATCTACTAGAAATGTATAATATCAGTTTTACGTTTCATGTATGTACGTATGTAGAATTCGATATACGAATAAAAATGTTTTTGTCCGTCCGCCGTCCGCTCATTTTCTCCGAAACTACTGGACCGATTTTTTTCAAATTTAGATATTAAATCAGAGGTAACTCGAGGATGATTCTCCTTCGTCGACATTACTATCCGCCTTTTTTGTCGATATTGTATACATTTTTTTAAAATTTTGCGTAATTTCCTAAAAAAAAAAAAAATTGTTGAAATCGGACAATTAGAAGCAAAGATATGGTCTCTAGTTTTTTTAAATTTTTCTTTTATGTTCTGCTGCAAAGGTTATATCCTTTGTTTTGGTTTTTGGCTTTTAAATGTATTACTGAAGTAATGATAATTAAAAAAAGTTTAGTCCAATAATTTGATTCATCTTTTATTTATTTTTCTTTGTAAATAGGATGGTAATGTTACTCTAGATGTATAATAGTTTGGAAATAATAAACCATTGTGAAATAATTTGGAGCGTTTTGTTCTTAATTAAAGTAAAAAATAAAATAAAACCAACAATTTTAGCTAGTGAACCGATTGAATTTTTGACAAGATTGTGAAGTTGTTAAGGATATTCGGGGTTAAGGATATATAAGGATATAATATATTTTCTACTTGTTATTATAGAGATTGAGGGCTGTGATGATTATAGTTTTGGGATAGCAGATATATATTAGATTGCATTCATCACTTTCACTTTCACTTATACTAATGAACTATTGAAGAAAGTTAGTCGACTGTTCTACATATCAACCTGTGCCATCATCAGGGCGTGTTTCGAACACTGAAGGTATTCAAGTACTTGCTGATGATGACCTGCATGTTTGGGTTGAAACCTCAGCACTAATAAAAATTATATAATGACTGTGTCCTGAATATTTATCACCCATGGCATATACTAATGTGTTTTTTTCACATTTTCCCTATATCCCCATTTACTAAGTATTTATTGCTCAACTTTACTGTTCCTCGTGAATAAATTTGACTATTTATGTGTTACTCTTTGAAGTATTGACATTCCATACGAAGTAAACAAAAAAAAAAACAAAAAAAACTGAAATCGTTTGTTGCAGAGATATACCATTATGACATATTCTGTTTTATTACATACAACGACGGTTCAAATGAACAGACGTTTGCGGATTTAAAAAAAAAATACGACTTATAAGCTGTCTTATTATTCATGTAAGCTGCATTCATGCGATAAAATGCATTATTATTACAATATAATTTTAAAATGACTTTGTGAAAGATAATGTAGTAGATGAGATTTAGTTTTATGAAACATATATTAAAATAAATACAAAATTAAACACAAAATAATTTAATAGTAAAAATTAACATAGAAATATAATAATATTATATTGACAATATTTATTTAATTTATTATTATTAAAAAATTTGAACTAATTTAAAAATGGATTTTACAGCATTGGAATGGTTCATTTAATTCAAATTGATATCGTTCATGGTTCATGATAATTCACTCGATGAAATTCATCGAGAGAACTATTTATTGATATCCTGCTTGGCTTAACCTAAAAAAACAAAAAAGAGAAAACGAATTATGGGATTCAGGCTTTAAAGCAGTCACAAAAAACACTTGTGAGGCAAAAATGACCCCAACACTTATCACCGATAATTCGCACATAAGTGGCTGATAGTGTTGTGTGTTCTGCGTTTTTGACATTAATAATTGATTCAAATCAGTAAAATGACGTTGCCAAAGATATAATTATCAAGAGAGCTGTTTACAAATTATAAAAATGTCATCAAAAATTGTGTTATCTCGTTCAATTAATGTCGTAGAGTATTACTTATTTAGATATTAAAAATTTTAATATTAAATGATACTATAAATTGAGTATTGATAAAAAAAATAATAAGTTTTGTTTTTAAACAACACGATAGAAGTGAAAACTTCATCAAGGCGAGATTAATAATATATTTTTATTTTTTTTATTTATTTATTGTTACATTCCGCATCTACCGGAGCGGGTCATTAGCGGCTTTAGATGTACTCAAATCAGGTGGACAAATTTAATGTCTTTTATAAATTCAAATACTTTTTGTATCTTTTCTTCGTCATCTGAAAGTGCGTCAGATATGTTGGAAGGTATATTATGTTTTGTTCTGGTGTCAGAGTGTAGTCTGCAAGTTGTTACAATGTGTTTCAGTCTAAGTGATGTGTTGCATGTTTTACAAAATGGTGGTTCCAGGCCTCTCATGAGGTAGCCATGGGTATAGGCTGCATGTCCAATTATAAGCCGAGTTAAAATTATTTCTTCTTTCCTGTTCTTTCTGAAAGAGGTCGTCTACGGTTTGGTATATTTTTTAATTTCTTGCAATTTATTTATAGATTGGTTCCACATGAATTGCCATTTTTCATTTAGGATTTTTTTTCATTCCAATCTCCAGTCAGCAGTGGTCGTTAAATTGATCATTGTGGTTCCATTAGTTTTTCTTCTTGCCAGGTTCGCAGCTCTGTTTGCAGCTTCGTTCCCAGATATGCCACAATGTGAGGGTGCCCATGCGAGGACTATGTCTCTGACCAGCGATTCCTTCATTTCCTGGAGATGACATTGTCGGCTTTCCCTTTGGCATGGCCATTAATGAGCTTATAGAGTCTGTAACTATAAGATCATTTTTTATGTTTTTTTCTGTTAGTAATAACAAGGCCTGATATATGGCGAATAGTTCGCCTGTGAAGAAGCTGTTTATTTGGGACAAATTGAATTTGAGGCACTGGTCTTTCAGTATTACTGCACATTCTACGTCACTATCTGTTATTGATGCATCTGTATAAAGGTTTGTGTGATTTTTTTTTTTTTTTTATATGATATTTACAACTTAAAAAAAAAAATACATCTAGTAAATTCGCACATGGATATAATGACATGAACCACATGTTGAGAAACTTCCGTTGGTAGCACTCTAATAATATGTCTATATTAAGAGATCACGTGGTCATCTTCCTTTCAGGCGCCTCGGAGGGTTATCAGGAATTGAATAGGAAGGAAGGTTGGAAACAAGAGGGTTGGTATGGTTATGAAGTTTATTATGGAAGGACAGATATATGGATTGGGCCAAATCTGATACATAAGGAACATTAAGGTCATTGTGGATGATTTTATTTGAAACAAAGTAAGGAGCATTGCGGATTTTACGAAGGATTTTGTATTGTAAGGATTGCATACGAGAGGAATTTGAAGGTTTGAAGGCCCCATAGCTCAACTCCGTAAGTCCAAATAGGCCTTATTATAGTCATGTAAATGAGTCTTTTGTAATTAATTGGAAGGTTAGAGTGTTTGTCTAGTATGTGCTGAAGTAGTCGGAAACGTGGAGCTGTTTCTTGTCGTTTCAGTCTGGTATGAGGATTCCAAGTTAGACGTTTGTCCAGGTGGAGTCCTAGGTATTGAATTTGTTCAACAGGAATAAATGAGGTGTTGTTAAAGGACAGGAAATAATTGGTTTACGACGAACGGTGAAGGTAATTTATTAATAATATGAAAAAGAAATTATAAATAATATATATGCTATATAAATATTATATAGATCCGGTGTTAGCGATTTTCTTTCGATGTTATAATAATATGGAATCCCATGTTACATATTGAATTACATCTATATCGATGATATCTCAATATCCTTTATTAGCTACATTAACCTTCACTCTCCTTCTCGAATATTTCAAAATGGCGACGTCTATGCTACATTAAATGTTAAGTTATTATTAAAAGCATTAAGTTATTGCTAAAGTAATATATTGTGAGTGAAAGTTGCGAGAAGCGTGAGGTATACCTGATTTTTCTATTAATAATGTTAGAACATTTCAGATGACGTGAACGTGTGTAAAGCCCCGCCATCGGGTTAGTATGCTCCGAGAAGCTGTTACAAGGCCGCAATTCCACTGCCAAGAGCTCCCCTGCCAAATTGTGCAACTCCCTCAGGGAGCATCGCCTTATCTAAATTAACAGCTGGGCC